AGCTCTGGTGGCTTTGCAAGATTACTTGGTGTTGGGCGTGCGCTCACATTTCCAGGCTTGGACCCGGAGAGGAACCCCTTTGTTACCGTTTGAAATAAGAAGATCAGAGGGGAAGACGGGGTTTGAAAGGAGGATTAGGGAGTCCTAACTCTTTGCCGACCACCTCAGCCTGAATCTTTATAAAAAGATCGAGAAGTGCAACGAATTTCGGAAATCATGCCAAGTTCCCTTGAAGCCTATCCTGGAACCTAGCTTCCGGACCCAGAAATTCCCCCCAAGACAAGCCTGGTGTGGCAGGCAGTTTGGACCCACCAGCATCTACCTCTGCTTTTAAGATACTAATGCCCATTTTCTGCTGAGAGTTTCATTTCTTGGGTGACGAGTTTGCTTTTCGGCGAATAATGGAGAACCGTAGACCCGGTGGAGTGCTGACCACCTTGCCCTACTGCCTCCGCACTGTGCCGGTGGGATTACCAGGGACTCCGCCGCGACTGCCCCTGAGGGACCCCTTCAGGGACTCCTTCGGTCTAGACGTGGCGTCCTGGGACCGTACGCATGGGGACTGCCCACGGAGGCGGTCCTACCTGCCCCTGCCGCTGGATGGCGCCTTCGAGCCCGCCTTTCTCCTCAAGCGCAACGAGCGCGAGCGGCAGCGGGTGCGCTGCGTGAACGAGGGTTACGCGCGCCTCCGGGACCACTTGCCCCGGGAGGTGGCCGACAGGCGCCTGAGCAAGGTGGAGACGCTCCGCGCCGCCATCGGCTACATCAAGCACCTTCAGGAGCTGCTGGGACGCCATGGCCCGGGGCAAGAGGGCGCGGCCGGCGCTGGCGGCGGGCGCCGGGCCGATTGCTACAGCGACGGCGAGTCCAAGGCGTCCTCGGCGCCCTCGCCCTGCAGTGAGCCGGAGGAGGGGGCCAGCTAGGAACGCCCGCGCGGCGGCGCCTCCCGCGAGCACTGAGCAGCGCGCTTTTGGGGCTGAGGTCTAAGGTCCTCCCCGAAGAGGGCTTGCGTTTTTAATCTAGTTTCTTCTCCAGGCCTACGGTTTAGGAAAAAGAAATGAGTACTGCAGGGGAAAAAGGTATTTTGACATTTTGGTTTATTTTTTTCCCCTCTTGCTGGTTACATGCCTGCAACTTCAAGTGCCTGCTACTATTAAGGCAACTCTCGTCCAGTGCTTTTAAAATCCAAACTGCTTCAAGTCAGAATTTTGTTCACTTGAATGTGGACGTTTGGGTGTGTGGAGAAGGAAAAGGTAAGGGCTAGAATGTAAATAGATTTGGAGAACCTCATTCTAAAAATAATCATTCTAAAAACGCAACGGGCGGTAACAACTGGAATTCCCCAGTCTATGATTGTGGCTAAATTATACACATAAATATTGAAATACATCCAATCTTAATCAAGGAAGTACTGACAAAGTGCCAGCCCTTAGGAGGAAAGGCACCTGCATTCCTTTCTTGGGGAATTTTATTAGGAATTTAACTGACACCCGTGCTTTGTTTGGGTGAAGGTGACTCTCAGCTGCCACTTGAACACCAATTTGCCAGCGCCTGGTGCCAGACTTCAGTGCATGGTGTTGACTGAATGTGTGAACGGTGGTGGTAAAGAGAAGACACTGTCTATTGGATACATTCTAGTTTACCAGAAAGTGACCACTTGGAAAGTTCATACCATTTAGCAGATAATAAAGCATCTTAAGTGTTAGTGAGCTCTTTGGAAGAGAACCCAGATTTGTATGAAATCTCATTTTTCTTGTCAGTCACTCCCCCCCCCTTTTTTGGTATTCTTTGTAAGTCTCATTTCATCTAACCACCTTTGTTTAAATTGAAGTGACACTGTGACTTTAAAAAAAAAAATTGGAACTACTTAAAAGTGCCTTTTGATGGTTGAACTGGATGGGGACAGATGTAAGGTAACAGAGGTGAATTGAGGTTGGTATGTTCTCACACTTTTTTTCACTTTGAAGACTTCCAGGTATATTGAATAACCTAGGGACTTGGGCGATGTTTCCAGTTTTTTTTTTTAAATATTTGGTTTTGATCATTATTTTTCTGAGAAACAGTTATGAATTCAGTAAATAAGTCAATTCCTTGTTGACATAGGGAGATAAATGTCCTCTCTCTCAAATTGTTTTCTGCTGTGAATTGCCCTTTCCATGAAGGCAGCTGTGATCTGGGGAACTGGACATGGAGAGGGAACTAACATTGGTGAACTCTTTCCAAGTATTTCACTTAATCCTCATAAGCTAGATTTATTACCTGCTTTTACAGTGATGAGAGCTCTGGTGGCATAGTCCCTAAGGCATTTGACTGCTAACCAGAAAGCTGGCGGTTCAAACCCACCAGCCACTCCTTGGAAGGAAGATTGGGCAATTTTCTCCTGTAGAGATACTGCCTCGGAAACTCAAGGAGGAGTCGCTATGAGTCAAATCGACTCGACGACAGTGAGGTTTTTTTTTTTTTTTAAACAGTGTTGCCAACTAAGGGACGTTAATATTCAGTGAACATCTTTTATATGCCAAGAAATTTGTTGTGTGCTTTTTGAAAGAACATTTTATCCTACTTAATTCTCAGAAATTGGTGAGGGTGTTACACATATTGTATGGTTAAAAAAATGAGGTTCATAGACATTACATACCTCACCTAGGTTAGTGTTGAGTTGAGATTCAGTGCTGAGACTTTCTGACTGCAAAACCAGTTGCCATAAAGTCAGGATCAACTCACGATGACCCCATGGGTGTCAGAGAAGAACTAGACTCCATAGGGTTTTCAATGGTTGATCATTCAGTAGTAGGTTGCTAGGCCTTTCTTCCAAGGTGACCCTGGGTGGACTCAAACTTCAAACACGTCTTTTAGTAGCTGAGTATGTTGACCGTTTGCAGCAACAAGAAAGTCCATTGGAGAATGTTGTTATTAGGTGCTGTCGAGTTGGTTCTGACTCGTAGCGACCCCATATACAACAGAACGAGATGCTGCCTGGTCCTGTGCCATCCTACAATCATTGCTGTGTTTGAGCCCCCTGTTGCAACCCCTGTGCCAATCTATTTCATGGAGGGTCTTCTTTTTCACTGACTCTGTGTTTTACCAAGCATGATGTCCTTTTCCAAGGAGCTCTGGTGGCACAGTGGGTAAGGCATTTGGCTGCTAACCAGAAGGTTGGTGGTTCAAACCCACCAGCTGATCTGCAGAAGGAAGATGAGGCAATCAACTTCTGTAAAGGTTCACAGCTTTGGAAACTCTGTGGGTTGCTATGAGTTGGAATTGACTCAGTGGCAGTGGGCTTGGGGTTTTTTTTTTTTTTTTCAGTGTCCTTTTCCAGGGATTCGTCCCTCCTGATAATGTGTCCAAGGTAAGTGAGATGAAGTCTCGCCATCCTTGCTTCCTGTCTTGGAGAATAGAGGCCGACTAGAAGTGATGGGTAGGACCAGGTCCTGGAAGGCATTAAAAGCCAGGCTGAAAAGTCTGAACTTTATTTTGTAGGCAATGGAGAACTATTGGAAAAAATTGTTTTTAATTTTTGAGGAAGGTGGAGTGTTCATTGCTGTGGATGAAGAGCATATGTGTGGGTGGCAGGATTATAGGATTTTATAATCAATAAGAGAGAGGAAGTGAGGGCTTTAACCAAGGCAGTGGCAGTGGGAATGGAAAGGAAGGGAGGGATTGGGAGACAGCATGGAAGCGGAACTGGCAACTCAGCAGATGGGGATAGGAGATGAGGAAGAGGGAGAAGTTGAAGACAACATTGTTTGGGGCTCAGGTGAATCCCCATCTACTGAAATTGGGAACAAAAGGAGAAGCATATTTAATAGATAGAAGTCTTATTTTGGATGTGCTGAGTTTAAAATACTGATAGGCTACTCCTGTCAGTATCCAGGCTGTTGCTAGTGCTGATGTCGAGGTCAGGAGAGAAGTCAAGGATAGATGTCGATTTGAGAGTCATACGCCTACAGATAGTAATAAGAGTAGACAAGATCTCCAAGGGAGAATACTGATGAGAAGAGTCAAGAGATCTGGGGCAGGCCTGCAGTAAAGGAGTGGCAGGAGAAAAATGTCTTTGGGGAGGACTGAGAAGCCAGAGCCTGAGAAGTTGGTAGGAGAATGAGGCTCATATGTGGTCCTGGCAATTAAGTCATAAACAGTATCATTTTATAAGAAGGAGGGAGTGGTTGACAGCCTTGTATGAATCAGAGGTAGTTTAAATGTGAGAGGAAGCCATTGGATTTGGCCATTAAAAGTTCACTAGAGACATTTCTAAGAGCATGAAAGGGGCAGTGGATTAAAGAATAAATGGGAGATGAGAAAGTAGAGATAAGGTTGAAGACTACCCTGTCAAGACATTGTGCCGTGAATGAAGAAAGAGAGCTGGGATGATGTGATAGGGAAGCTGGGGGAGTTCCTAGCCTGAGGTCTCATCAGTTGCCTTCAAGTCCATTCTGACTCAAGGCAACTCCATGGGTCAACGTAGAGCTGAACTCCGCAGGGTTTTCAGTGGCTGATTCCTCCGTAGATTGCCAAGCTTTTCTTCCGAGGTGCCTCTGGGTGAACTTGAACTTCCCACTTTTCAGTTAGCAGCTCATCATGTCAGCAGGGGTTACAACCCAGAGGCATCTTGGGAGAAAGGCCTGGTGATCTACTTCTGAAAACTCAGCCGTTGACAACCTT